GGGTAATCGGGATGGGTGTGTCAGAGGCAATGCGATTGGCACAGGATAGAGCAGGGTTTAGGGCTGTTTTACATAGAGGGTCGCTATGAGTCGCAAACAACTCGACGGCACATAACAACAACAGGTAGGTAAGTCATTTCCTTGGAAAGGGACATCATGCTTGGAAAGATGGAGGGTTAGCCAAGGAGAGGAAACCCCCCCAGCAAGGTGGATTGACACGGTGATTTCAGTAGTGTGTCAGATGATGAGGAGAGTACAGGACAAGGCATGGCTCAGTTCAGCTGTTCATAGGGTCACTATGAATTATACTCAACATTATGACACCTAACAATGACAATAGAAACAATGGTTAATGAGAGTGTTCTGGTGGCTTAGTGATAAGGAGTTGCTCTATGAACCCAAAGGTTCTAATCCACCAGGTAGTCTGAGAGAAAGAATGACAGTATCTTCCCATGTTAAACCTGCTAAGGGTTACCTGTAAGTCACTTCTGACTTGTCAGCACACAACAACAACAACAACAACAGTCGCTAGTGAGGGAGTTCTGGAGGACAAATGAATAAGGAGTTTTGCTACCACAACAAAGACAGGCAGTTCAGATCTACTGGCAGATCTAATATCAGCTAAAGATTGTTTGTTCATTTGTTTGTTTACATAGTCTGTTTTTCTGAAGCACTGCCAGAACTTTTACAATTTCCTTTCCCTTTCTTTTAGTGTGTTAAACAGGTTTCTTTCTCATGTTCCACAAAGTGTAAAACCACTCTGAGTAAACCTTAGAGATTGGTTGGTTCTGTGACTGTCCTTAGAGTAATTGTTGAGTGTTAAATCTAATTCTCTTAAAATGGTTCATTGGCATTGCTTTAGTCTTGTCTTCAATCTTCCTCTAACTGTGCTTTTGTCTTTTTTTAGTTGTGATGTCTATATATTTGCCAGTTTTCCATTTTTTGCATATACAATTCAAGATTAGTCTTTACAATGTGTTGTGCAGCCATCACCATTATCCTTTTCCAAATTATTCTGTCACCACTTGTTGAAACTTGGTGCTTTTGTTGTATTTCATTTTAATGAATATAAATGTGCTCCTTCCCTCTGATATTATCTAACCTCTAAATGTCAAAACCTACTTTGCTCTTAAGTACTTGCAGGGACAAAGGCTAACAGGGTTAAAACTCTTGTGTAGGGTGAAATCCCTAATTAGAAAAGAACCAAATTTTGTTGGATGTGTCCAGAGTATTTCTGCGGAGTGATAGCTGAGTAAACTTTTGACCCATTTTTGTTAAAAACGAGACCTTTTTTCTGTCCTGCCCTAATACTACTGTTTTTCATTTTGGTGATTCTATAGTCTAGAACATGTGGCCTAACAAGGATATAAATCTAGGAAGAAAAAGTGTGTCTGGCATCAATCTTAAGTCTTTTGCAAATCTAACAGAGCACAAATCCCAAATTGTTTAAATTCCAAATATTTACTTGAACAAGAGACCATTCAAAAACGGATTTTTTTTAAAAATTGTGAATTTGTCTTTTATTTTAAAACTGGTTGGAGTGTGTGTGTGTGTGTGTGTGTGTGTGTGTGTGTGTGTGTTTAGGCTCTATAAATTTAACAAAATGGAAGTTAACTGTCTCCCTCATAATACTCTTGTGTTGTCTTTGAAAATAAAATACACATACAACATGCATACATTTGAAATGAGGCCAGATGTAGACACCAAGGGCATACTGTTCTGCACCTTCAGTTACAATCAGATGTATTTTAGCACAGATCAAATTTGCAGTCTGAAGTTGGTGAGAAGCCTAGTTATTTGACCAGGTTATTGTTTCTGTAGACCTTTCTCTGGCTGTCTGTGGTTAGTCCACAGCTGGCAGAACTCTAGCTTTGGGGAGCTTTTATTTCATGCGGGAACAGTCTGGGGAGAAACGAAGGGGGCAGGACTTTTGATTTTTCAGATTAAATGAAAGACTGAAAGCAAATCCATATCTTTTCCTAGTGGAGATACTGTGCTGTCTATCCTGCTCACTTTATTCACCAAGTGACAGGATTAGGAAAAGAAGCAGCTTGGATACACATAATTTGAAAATGACGTGTCATTTGACTGCAACAAAATAAGATGGAGACGTTTAAAAAGTAATATTTCTGAAGACCAAGACTTGTTGCCTGTCAGAGCAGTGGAACATTGCTGGGGGAAATTAATGGATAGAAATTTTTAAATGAGAAATTATTAACATTTTGTTGTTTGTTGTTGTTATGTGCTGTCGAGTCGCTTGCGACTCATAGCGACCCTATGTACAACAGCCCTAAACTCTGCTCTGTCCTGTGCCAATCGCACTGTCTCTGACACTCCCATCCCAATTATCCCAGTCACTGAATCAATCCACGTCATAGAGGGTCTTCCTCTCCTATGATGTCCCTCTCCAAGGACTGGTCTCTCCTCACAACATGTCCAAAGTATGTTAGACGGAGCATCAGAATCTTTGCCTCCAAGGAGCCACCCGGTTTAACCCTTTCCAGGACAAATCTGTTTGTTTTCCTAGCAGTCCATGGTATTCTCAATACTCTTCTCCAGTACCACAGCTCAAAGGCATCAATTCTCCTTCTATCCTCCCTGGTCATTGTGCAACTCTGATGCATAACAAGTGATTGCGAAGACCATAGCCTGTATCAGACACACCTTAGTCTCCAGAGAGACACCATTGCTCTTCAGTACTTTGGAGAGGTCCCTAACAGCAGACTTTCCCAGGACAATGCGCCTTTTAATTTCCTGGCTGCTGGTGCCAAGACTGTTGACTATGGAGCCAAGCAAACTAAAGCTGTGTACAATCTCAATCTCTTCACCATCCATTCTGATGCTGCCAATTGGTCCAGTGGTGAGAATCTTTGTCTTCTTGACATTGAGCCTCAATGCATATTGTAGGCTGCAGTCCTTGACACTCTGCAGCAGGTGCTTCAGGTCCTCCTCAGTTTCAGCAAGCAGGGTTGTGTCATCCACATAATGCAGATTGTTGATAAACCGTCAACCAATCTTGACCCCACATTTCTCCTCATAGAGCCCAGCCTCCCGGATAATCTGTTCTGCATATAGGTTGAAAAGGTATGGAGATAGGATGCATCCCTGGTGTACGCCCTTCCCAATTTTGAACCGTGCAGTATTCCCTTGTTGAAAAACACATTTAGAATTTCATTAGCAATGGTTTAAAATGAAAGTAGACTCTCAGTAGAAAATCTCTCTTAATTTAGAAGTTGGTAAGCCCTTTAAAGATCGCAAAAAAGTAACCTTATAGTGATTAATGTTGAATTGTGTAAGTAATAGAAAAGGGGTTTTTAAATCTTGTTAGTGGCACAGTTTTAAGTAAGTATTTCAGTAGCATTTTTGCTGGTTCTTTTCCTTGCCTAGGTCCTTCACTCCTCTGGTGCTTCTCTCCTCCCTTCCTTCTTTAGGGGGCTCTGGTGGCATAAGGCAGAGACTTGCACAGCTAACCCAAAGGTGGCACCTCTCCAGTGGTTTGAATCTCCCTGTGGCTCCAAGGGAGAAAGATGGGAAGTCTCCCTGTGTGCATTTTTACAGCCTCTGAAAACCCCTGGTAGGGTCAGCTATGAATTGGTCTGAACACCACAGCAATAAGAGAGTCCTCCTCTCGATCCCTTTCTTCTTTCAAAGGAGGCTGTCAGAGGACTCCATTTCTTTCTCCTGTCTGCTTAAACTAGATCACTTTTGTGGGACCTTTCTCCAGAGCACAACTAAATGCTGAAATAGCCAGTTCTCAATCTGGATTTAAAAATTTTTATTAACGATAGGACCTAAATTAAAATCTCAGTAATTTTTGCTACTTTTTAAATGCCTTCTTGTCAATTTCTTATCACTTGCCAAATTCTGTATGTTATGTTCCCAGTATTGTTTGCTTTACACAGCAGAATGCAAGCTTTTCTTAATGGTTGCTGAATTATTGCTGTCCAGGTTATCCGTCCTTTAAATCTTGAGTTGTTATTCCCACTTTGAGTTGTTACTCTTTTCCCTTAAAGCAATTTCCTGTGAGATATTCTATCTCCATCTCTACTCAACCCACCTTACCTACCAAATAGGCTCCTAACCTACTGTCCCATTCCCCCTATGTTCTTAACTCAGCTGACCTTCCCAGCCTCTCAGCCTTTACTGCTTCTCCTCGTGTACACCTTCACTCGTGTTATCGATTATCGATCATCCAAACCAACTTCCTGTATAAGCATCCATGTCTTTGCTCACACTTTCTTTTATTTCAAAGTCAAAGTCACCCAACTCATAGTTGACCCTCCAGTGCGTTTTCAGTCTATAAATCGCCCAAAAAGGATTGCCAGTCCTGCTCCCATGGGGTGGATGGAGGATTCAAACAGCAGCCTAAGCCAACAGAACTCCCTAAGTGTATTCTTTAAAGTGTTTTATTAACTATGCTTATAAATAATATTTTACAATTTAACTTGGCAGACATGAAATTTAATTGAGTTTTTATTGTATTACTAAATTGTTTTCTCTTCCTTCTAATTCAGACCTTTCCTCAAAACATCAATTTAGAAGTTTCATAAGTAACCAGTGATAATCTCTGTAAACAAATTCTTTTCAAAATGGTTTTCTTTTTAATAAATGCATTACTTATAAGGATTACAACTGTTAATGAGAAACTAGAAGGATCCTGTCCACTTTTATTACCATTTCTCAACTTGAATATAGTTATTGGCATAAATGAGGCTTTTCAAGTATTTTTCTTATGTAGATTCTCTGAACTATTTTTGCACCAACTATACAAATCTACAATGAAATAAGTAATATTTATATACTCAGAGGTAATGGCATTTATCAAATTTATAGTTTGCAAGACTATAGTTTTCTCCTAGCTCTGTGCTGCTATTTCCAACCTTGTATTTTGTAATTATTTTTTACAAGCTTTTGTTGTATTCTTTGTAGGTTCTTTTGTCCTCACTGTGACTCTGTATGGATGGGATTCTTAATTTTTATTTTTCTCTTTCTTTTCCCAGGGCTTTTTTCTTACAGTTTCCCCAGAATCAATATTAAAGGTGGCTCATCATGCTTCTGAAAACAATAGAATCTTCACTTTGAATCTGTCTGCACCATTTATTAGCCAGTTCTACAAGGAACCTTTGATGAAAGTTATGCCTTATGTTGACATACTATTTGGAAACGAGACGGTGAGTTACCTTTAATATATATATATATACACACACCTTTTCTTTTGATGTCTTCTCATACATTTAGAAAGATAAATCTAAATATTTGCATAGCGGAAGAGTGCTGTTAAAATGTGGGGATTATAATCAATGTCATGAAAAAAAAATTATGTCAACAATTCAGCAGACTACTAATCAATCTACACTATCAGCTTTCACTAAAATCACCAAACCCTTTCCCCTGTAACCTAGTTTCAAAAAGAAATATTTGCAATGTACATTTGTAAATTTTATAACAAAATTCTATTCTAATTTGTTGTTTCATTCTCCTTCTGTATGTACCAAGTTGTCATTTAGTAAAAACTTCATCTGTTTGGGTTTTTAATTCTTTCAGGATTTAATCTGTTGAGTATCATTTACTTATAGTAAAATTTACTCTTTTCTGTATATTTTATAAGAGTTTTTATAAGCAAGCAAGATACAAAGCCTTTTTTTCACTTAAATGATTTCCTACATGCCTTTTTAAAAATTCCTTCCCTTCACTTTATTTCTTGACAACTACTTTTTTTAACCAGTAAAAGAAAGTTCTTTCTGAAATTTCTCTTTGAAGTAAGAGAGATCGAGTCTAAAATATTTTATGAATAAATGTTGCTATATTATAACATTATAGTAAATTTCTTTATTCATATCATTAATATATAGACCACCAAGAAAACAATAGGTCTCTCTTAGAGAGCGTGAATCCAAGTTTCTCCTGGGAGGCTGGGATTTTGAAGCTCTCAAATACTTTGGGCATGTGGCCAGGAGGGGCTGATCCTTGGAGAAAGACACATGCTCAGAAGGGTGGAGGGACAGTTCAGGAGAGGAAGTTCCACAATGAGATGGATTGATACAGTAACTGGGGCAATGGGGGATGGTGTGTCAGAATCAATGAGACTGGCTCAGGACAGGACAGGCTTCAGAGCTGCTGTGGGTGCAGACAACTCAATAGCACATAACAACATTGTAACATTATAAAATTTCTTTATTCATGTCGTTAGTATTATTGTCATATTTTACGATAATAAGGTAGAATTTATTTTCTCCTTATCAAAAATTTCTTTGTTCATCCTGAATTAGTAGAGAAGTTTAAATGTTCTTGTGTTTTGAAACAAAACTTATCCACTCGAAGTGCTTTTGAGTCTGGTTCTATTCATAGCAAATCTCCCTTGTGTTTCAGGTCAAAAGACTGTCTATCTTTTGTCCAAGGAACTTCTGGTAGACTTAAACTGATGACCTTGCAGCTAGCAGCCTGATGCATTACACACTAATAGACTTTAGAAATACATGCAATTGAAAGGAGAGGAGTGAAGAGTAAAGATGAGAGAGAGAATAATAGGTATCTTCCTTCATGTGATCTTAGTCAAGTCAGTTAATTTTCCCAAGTTTTATGGCTTTCGCCTATTAAAACAGACATATTAATAATCCCAGACATTCATTCTGATTCTGACTTAGTTTGATTATTTTCATTGATTTCACATCTAGGTAAGATAATTGTGCTGTCTGCCTACAATAACATAAAATGTGGAAAGTAAATAATTTATGAGATCAGTTGGGTGAGGATTAAAAAGGGCCTGTTTGTAGGTATAATATTATGATGTGAATATATGCAAAGGCATTAGCTAGTTGAAGGAAATCCCACTTTCTTGATATTTCACATTATACATAAAGGTAAGAAATAATAGTAATAGAATTGTTCAGCTTCTTGATACGGACTAAAATCTCATTTGACTAAAGTCAGTGCATCTGAAGAATTTTAGATTTTTTTTTCTTAACTTTTTTTTTGCTGGCAGTTTTGTTTTCCAAAAAAAATACAGTAAATAAGTGCTCTGGACCTTTAAACAATACGAAAGAATTGGTTGTCAGTATAACAGTTTCAGAATCCTTAGGAGAGAATGACACTTGATCTCAGTTCTTTATAGTTAGGAAGGAAGAGGCTGGCAATATTTGAACACATGTTCTAGACTTTAAGAAAAAACTTTTTGAAAGATAAATATGATTCCAAAGAATAAGATTGATCTATACTTACAGAAATCTATAACTTGTAATCTGCTTGCCTGGAGAGAGGGGTGTACTTAGAATGAGAAAATTTAGAGAAGTGATACTCCTTGCTCTGATTGGGAGTGGTTTCATTTATATGGTTTCTATATGTCAGATATTCCTCGGTAAAGTTGCTTTTTAACAAGAATGTGCACTGTGATAAAATTTAATTATAAAAAACAATTTTTACTTCATACAGTCATTCATATACATTGCTTTAAAAGAGCAAAGACTATGTGGGACGGACATATCTGACCTTTATCAGGTTCATAAAGGGGAATTGTTCCTGTCAACATCATCAACAGCAAAAAACAAATTCCATGAGGTCAGACTCATCTGCCACACTCCCACAACTCTTTCTACTCAACACCATTCTTACTGCTTTGCTTTATCCAAAATCCAATTTGATAGCTCATAGACCAAACAGAATCACATTGGGATAGTCAGAAGGTTATAGTCCAGGTTAGTAAAAGAATACAACCAGGATAACTTCCAAAATAGGCTCTCAGCCACCTCATCCTTGAGCCTCATGGCTTTAGGTTCGTGTAACTCTCAGTTCTACCAGATATGCATGGCTATCCCCACAACCTGTCCTCCAGCAAACTTGGGCAAAAGGCTCTTAACTCTGATTCAGTGGCATAGTAGTCCCAGGGTCACCTCTCATATCAGGTCTCTGATTGTCTGCTGTTGTTACTATGCTGTTGCTCCCATAGGCTATTATTGGTATAAGAATCTCTAGCCCCAGTTGATGTGTTGCATTCTTTTGCATCTTCTTTACTAGTGGTGAAACTTCTCCAATTGGCTTCACTCAATTTAATACTGAGACTAGCCAGTCCTCTTCTGCATAGGCTTACATACCCAATTCACATCTTGTCATCCACCCACATGGCAAAGTAAGTCAGTAGATACCTTTTGTCTTCTTGTTCTTCATGTACTTAGTTTTTATTATATACATAAAATGGCCCTTCATATTTCAATGGCAATATCAATCCATAGAGGAGTATGTGACGGACTTGTATAAGATAGTCTGTTCTAACTGAATAACGAAGCTCTGGTAGTACAGTGATTAGGTGCTGGTCTATTAACTGAAAGGTCAGTAGTTTGAATCCACCAGCCACATAATGGGAGAAAGAAGAGTCTTGTCTGTGAAGATCACAGCTTTAGAAACCGTGCTATCTGTCCGACATGTGGGGCCCGCATAAATCACAGTCAGCTTCATGGCAGTGCATGATGGGCCACTGAGTACATCTTTAAAGTAACAGAGATTATTCACAAAGTCATCCTTTATCATCATTTAACTAATCTGGAAGAAACTGTAACTTTTTTCCAAATGCATGCATAGTTTGAATAGAAAATACTCAACTTTTGTGTTTGGTTTTTTTTTTTGTGGTTGTATATGTATATGAAAATAGACATAACAACATATACACCCATTTAACAATTTCTACATGTGCAATTCAGTAATACTGGTTATATTTAACTTTAATTTGTAGTGTTTCATAACTTTATTTGATAATCTGCAATTCATTTCCTATATTAAACTTTTTTCACCCTTCTCAATATTCTGTTCCAAATTTATGGAACCATCATTAACACAAACTCATTCTCCTCTAAGCTTCACATACATTTTGAGCTGCTTTCGTCTACATATAAAGATAATTTGTAATTTTTATAATTTTGTTTACATATAATTTTTCTTGAAAGAGCAAAATTCTCAAGGCAGATACTCTTTTCTAACTAAACCAAACAACTGTATGGTTTCAAAATGGCTTCAGGCTGTAGGTTCAGTTTAAGGTTTAACGCTTTCCTCAGGAAGTACTTAGTTTGTGTCAGATGGTAATTGTGTTAGTATGTGTGTTGAGGTTATTACCCCAAGGCCCACTCCACTTTGATTGCCTATACTCTCCACTCCTTCAGTAAAATATAGCAAGTAGTCAAGTGATATATCCCATGGAGTGCCGAAAGAACAAGCAGGTATGTTCTGGGAAACGTGCAGTCAGAATGCTACTTGGAGGCAAAGATGATGAAGCTTTGTCTCGTGTAATTCAGGCATGTTGCTACAACTAGCTTGTTCCTTGGAGCAGAACATCATGCTTGGAAAAGTGGAGAGTCAGTAAAAGAGAAAGCAAAAAAGATCCCCAATGAGATGGATTGACATCGTGACTGCAGCAATGGGCTCACGTGTGTCAGAGATAATGAGGTTGGCACAAGATAGGGCAGCATTCAGGTCTGTTTTTTGTAGGGCTGCTGTGAGTTTTGCTCAACAGTACCTAATAACAGTCAAGTGATTAGGCCCTTAAACTACTTATGTTATTTCCCAGCATATTGTTTCCAACCAGGAGTCAATTTTGTTTGTCCTATACCTTTCTTTGTTGTTGTTGTTGATTGCCTTTGAGTCGAGCACAACTCATTGCAACCCTATGAACAAAAGGATTGAAGCCCCTCTACAACAGTAGACATCTATCAAAGTTCATAGGGTTTGCCCATGCCACCTTTCTTCGTACAATTTATATTAATTATGTTTCATATAGTCCTTGTTACTTTAATAAGTATTATGTATCCTGATGAAATGGAAATACATGTAGAGTAGATATTTTATGGATTAAACTTGGATTCTCTTTACATTCTCATTATGTTTATATGCTCATTTTTTCAAAGTATATAATATTTAGTAATATAATCATGAGTTACGTTTACTTCTCACCATTCTGTTGTCATTCTCTCATACTGTGGTAGCTCATGTGTTGTTGAATTCTAGAAGCCAAGCCACCAGTACTTCTGATACCTGCGAAGTCATCCATTGTGAACTGCATTCCCCAGAGACTCTAGATTAACACAGACTAGAAGAAAGGACCAGGAAATCTACTGAAAAAAACTGGCCAGTGAATACTCATGAATTACAATGGAACACTGACTTAGTCCCCAAAGGTCAGCGTCTCCTA